GTACACGGTTGGGTTCAGGTCCGAGTTGCGATAAATTTTTAACGATTTTTGAGTTTAGGGGGCTGCTTGAGGCTCCGATTGGGGTGCTCGACAGTTGAGTTTCTTTCGCACGTGCATAGAGAATAACCCTGCAATGTTTCAGCTTTCTACGTTGCCTGGTTCGCGAGATCGTTTCCCGCCAACATATTTCCTTGGGGCCCCGTACGCGGAGTCTAGAAGCGTATGGGAAAGATCTTGAAACGGGAGGATGACACACGGGGTAGGAACATATTTCCGAAGTTTCAGCCTCCCAGCTTTGCTGGTTGCTGAGTTGAAAGTGGGTGACAAAATGCACTCGCTTCCCGAACACACACACAGCTTCTCGACAATATGCGTTTTTGCTGGTTGTAGCAGCGCTATAGCCAGCAAAAGCATATTGTCGAGAGCTGTATGTGTGGCTGTCTGTGCTACAGCGCTGCACAGCAAAAATGCATAAAAATCAGCAATCTTTCCACCAAGTTACTCAAATCCACTGTCGGATTTGAAAAAACACATGGAAATTGTCTTGTTCTTTTATAATCTTACAGTTTTAGTTGTTTATAACCAATGCTGCACCATCTGCTAGGGATTCCTGCATTCATTTCCCTGCTTTATTTCTTGTTTGTTTTACGAAAGACTGGTGGAAGATGAATCGTGTCCCTCCCGCTGCTTTATTTCTCGTAAAAACCATTTGTTATTTATAGGCATTTGCGGGAGCACTTTACGGGTCAAGTGAAATGGCACCTTTCTGGATGACATGCCAGGCACGTGCTTCGAATCAAATGACTGAAGTGATCAATCAGATTTACATTTCAACGTTTTTCAATCGTAGTAGCAAACCATTCTTGGCGCAGATGGTGCGCAATATCAAGGAAGCATTCGCTGAGATGATACGGAGTGAAGAGTGGATGGATGAACCAACAAAGAAACTGGCACTGCAAAAGGTCGAAACTCACTTTTAAACAACGCACTTTGGCAGAAGGAAATCAGGGCTCTGTAGTGCAGCATCTTGACAAACCCAAATAACAAACGAGTATTTCGATGATACGCACAAGACTGGCACTGATATATCCCAGGGAGTCAAATCTCCCACCAGCTTGCCTCGAAGCAAATATAATTTTAAGTACAAAATCGATGAGAATACGATATTTAGGTCATGTAAAAACCTCAAAAGAAGAGAACAGCCTTGATAGCGGATGGTTGCTATTAACTCTCAAGTTACTTCTAAGTGCCCTCACATCTCATAAAAGCGGATATTGATCTTATGTGTTTTTACTGCGCAGCGCTATAGCAGCTGCTACAGCCTGCAAAAACGCATATTGTCGAGAGGCTGTCTGTGTGTATGTTCGAAAGCGAATGCATTTTGTCACCTACTTTCATCTCAGCAACCAAGAAAGCTAGAAGGCTGAAACCTTGGATATATTTTCCTATCCCGTGTGTCATCCTCCCGTATTAAGTTCTCTCCCCGCATACGGGACCTCCAAAGAAATATGTTGGCGGGAAACGATTTCGCAAACCAGGCAAGGTAGAAAGCTGAAACCTTGCAGGGATATTCTCTAAGCACGTGCGAGCTAAAAATTTTAAACTCAGCTGTCTAGTCCCCCAATCACAGCCTCAAGCAGCTCCTCAACCCAAAAATTCTCTGCAACTTCGACTTGAACCGCAACTGCATATGCGAATGAACATGGATTTTTTGAAAAACGACCGTTCGAGCAGTACTTCCAATTTTTAATCAACTGGAAATTTGCATTTTTTCAAAAAAATCGCTCGCAACTCGGACCTGAACCGCAATCGCATATGTAAATGAATGTGGATTTTTTGACAAACGACCGTTCGAGTAGCACCTTCACTTTTTAGTGGGCTGAAAATATGCATTTTTTCGAAAAATTTGCATTTGTAATTTTTTCACAAAACAAGCATTTACCGAAAAAATTTGCATTTGTCATTTTTCTTCATGCAAAAAGCCGGTAATCACACA